TTAAACAGAAGGAATCCGATCACAACAAAAGATGCGAGAGCACCTGGTTCATTGAAGCAGAGTCCGACTCCCAATCACAAGAATACAAAATAGTCCCGCAGTAGCACCACAGGGGAATATGCAGGGAATAATAGCGACCCAGGGCTCTTTACAGTGCTCGTTACAGAGGTAATCATGTAAACACACTGTGGGTTAATGGATACCAAAGGACACGTAGGAATCAAAATGAGGAGCGCGCAGTAAGGAGCCTGGCAAAGAAAGCCGCAATGTTGGAAACAAGACGGCCTGTGTCTATGAAGACAAGCGTTATCGCGGAGTTCCTGTAAACCAACCACACCTGCCTCCTACTAACAAGTTTTTAATGTTGAACTTCTAGTCACACATCTCCATGGTCAATATAAACACCACCTACCTGGGGCCCGATCCCCAATGCTTTCGTATCGCTACGAACTCTGTAAGCCTTCGATAACCTGTTGCCTGTTTGTTTGTTGTTTAACGCCACACTCAGCAATATTTCAGCTATATGACGGCGGTCGAGTATGGACCAGACAATGAAGTGATTGACATCATGAGCATCGATCTACGCAACTGGGATACGTTGACATGCATCAATCAAGTCAGCAAGCCTGACCACCCGATCCCGTTAGTCGCCTCTTACGACAAGCATAGGTTGCTGAAGACCAAACTTAACCCGGACCTTCACTGTTTTGATAAACTATAGAGTTACGAAAGGTCGTAACGTTGAGAACGCTTTGTGGTCTATAAAATAGCTCATTAAGTATAGCTTATAGGTTGACATGCATATTCGTCAGATGTAAAACCCTTACTCAAAAGCTAACTACAATATGGAATAAGTTAATGAACGATCATTCCAAAGATTTTGAATAGGGGCTGCACGTGGGATCTAAAGGTTCGGCTATGACTGATACAACCTTTTACTCCTCTCAACTACCTACAACAAACTCCTCTTATCCGTTTGATCGGGTAAAAGATAAACCATGTTGCAAATTTCATAGGATACTGTTAGTTTAAAGAGATTTACGTACCCCCATCTCTTCAGTTCCTCAGACAGCCGCGGCGAGGTTTCTGCTCCGCTAGACTTGGTCAAATGCCAACTTCGTCATTTGTAGATTGACAGGTTTAAAATGCCCTGTCTGTGTTTCTGACTTCACATGATTATTTGTTTGTTTATCTTAGGCACAGACTAAAGAGGCAGGTAAGAGGTGTAGTGTAAAAGACTTCCATATCACTCTACAAGTCAATATAGCAATCGTAGCCTGCTTATTCATAGTCACCTCTGTTTACCAAACATTGTGAACATATCTCCAACATACAAACATCCCTATCCATCATACATATTTCACGTTAGCACCTTAATGTTTTTACCTGTGTATATTATACGTTCTGTGATGATGAATGGGAAGTCATATGTTAAAGTACTGGCCACTCACGTTCGATAACCAACATCGGTATTATGTGTTAAAACGATTTTTGATGCGCCCCGCCGTGATATTATCGATATATTTCTTATAGCTGCATAAACCTACACTCACCCACTATTAATTCTATATTAGCCTTAGATAAACACCACGCGGGAAAAAAACACTACAATCACGTGAAGTATTGAAGATGCGGATATAAAACCATTATACCGTACAATGTCCTTTTTAGCAAATGGGCTGATGATACAAATATTATTTGGAAATATTCAGCTGAAACCTTGACCAATAATTATAGCCGGGGTTAATCAAAGTTCTCTCCGCTTATGCATGGTGGCAACGTGTCCCTTTGAACCAATAAATCTAATTATTGAACTGGTTATCGATCGTGTGCCCTGTACGCCTTGCACAAGGTCCTGGTATTAATCACGTGGAGTTGGATTATTCTGACCAAATGGGGCCGTTTATGTGGTATAGTAATTACATTTCTATACAAACTTGTTTATTTTCCAATAAAACTAGCTTACTTGATTTCAGTGTGTGGTAAGAACGGACACGATTTGATTGTTTCTTTGCTAAAAAATCTGAATTGGGAGAGATCAAAGGGAATGCATGTGATATGGTGGGTATTTTTTTAGGATTGTTTTTGCACATGTGGTGAGCGATTGGGAACATGTTAATCCCCATTATGAGGCCTTTAGCGACGACGTGAGAGTAAGTGCGTGTATGTCCATCGAAGTCACTGACTAAAGCATTGTAGATGATCGAAATATCTGTCCTTGCCCTGGTTGCGTTACAGGCAATCAGACTGACACACAGATGCATCAAAATTTGTATGTCCTCCATTGCCTTGCCTACGACTTCAAGTACTACAAATTTGCACACAGGTTAAAATAGATAGAATTCGGGAGAAATATTTTACAAATATTACAAATGTATGCTTGCGAAATGTGAGTGCTCAACGTAAGCACTGTCGACTTGTAAATCGTTTGTCTAAATCTTCCAATCAGTTCACGTGTTTACAGCTCTCAGAAAATAAACTATTTAAACATTATGACCCATTACGCCAATGCATTTATTAAAACGTAAATTTTGAAATTATAGACGACAACAAAGTAAACAAAACAATTATATATTTAGGTTATCTACGCGATATTTTTAGTTAGTGTTCACTGAATCCTGGTAGCTTGCATTCATTACCATTGCTACCTCCTCTGTTATCTATACAAGTGGAGTCGACAGCCTCTGCGAGGAGAGCGGAAGGTCGGTGGTTCGATCCTGGGACGCGTCAAACAAAATGACGTTAAATGACGGTACTTGTTGTTACCCTGCCTGTCGTGGGGCATTAAGGGGATAAGAGAAGAACTGGTCGGCTGGGAGTCAGTATACTGTGTCAGATTGGGGTATCCATGTTAAACTGCGGCTTGGTATCTCAGTAGGGTAGCACTTTAACACCGTCATTAGTCTGAGATAGTACACCCACACACAGGTTTTACCCCCCAAACATAATGGCTTGACCACTACCGGTATCACAGAACTGTATAAAATGATAGTACTATGACATCGGTTAGGACAATACATCTGGCTGATAATTGTTACAAACTGCAGAGAGATGCTCTTCAAAAGATAACTGGAACTCGTCGTGATAAGCGAACGCCTTAACCACAAGGCTTCCCCCATACCATCTAACAGCACCGATGTTTCACGCTGTAGCAACCTCTTTGAGAGAGACGTGTTTAGACATAAATGCAAAGCTACATAAACACCTGAATCAAGAGGTATACATAAGTATATGCTGACATACGCTGAAGCAGCTGTCCCTAAATGGTGGCCGCGGAAATGAGAAATTTCAATGCTGATGTTATCATGTAAATGTCATTTCTCTCTACATACACATTCACCACAGGATACTACAATACAAGATCGATAAATCTTTTAATTTCTTTGTTAGATAACATTAAGTTAAGTGGTTAAGTTAAAGGTTAAGTGGCCATGAGTATGGGTGGCACAAAGGTTTGTGTCCATTTCTTGTGCAGAGTTGCGTCCCTTTACTTTCCCTGTCGTATGTTCGACTACAATCCGATAGATTATATTAGAACAGCAACTATTACTATCCTTGATCTAGAGTTCACCTGTGTCACAGTGTGATGTGGGCATAACCCCCAACGTTACACTGAAACGCCGTTTTATACTAATATATAGTGAGTATATAACAGTATTCCTGTTAAATCACAGAGTGTTAGCTTAATATAGGAGGAAAGCGCCAAGTGATGCTGGTCGAAGACGTTTACCACTGTGGTGAAATTATGGTGCTGACAAATATAATTGGAGCGAACCGGGATTCGAACCTCGACAATCATAAGTTTCTGGCGTGCTCAAGGGACGCAACCCTGCACAACGAATTGCAGCGCCTCAGACGACTGGGCCACCCAGGTGTAAGTAATTTGCATGTGTAATCTGTACGTTATGAATTCATTGCAGGATCCCGTGAAGCCAACATTGACCCGGTCTCCGCTAGGTGTTTTAAAGCTAGAGATGCTGTTCAGGCTGATGATTGCAGCTGCTGCGGCAACACCATCCTACACGGTGGGAAAACATGTAACTAATCAGATTTCCGAACCCCTTGACATTTACTCCTATTTTAAATCCTAAGTGAATGAAAAGTTCAAAAATATTTATAAAATTGCAACATCCAAGGTGGTATAATAGCTACAGGAAACAGTTGATCGTTACTAGTAAACACACAGCTGGAGGCTGCAACAACGAGACAAGTGAAGTCAATTAAAATGATGTTATAAGGTATTTTGAGTGGAGCTCTTAGCATGAGGAAAACGTAGGTTCTGTCAGTTAACCCAGCTGGAACGCTTGGCACACGGGATGAATGCATGGGGTAGTGGAGTATGTAAGGCGCGTCTACATTTACCCATATTGAACTTCAGCCCCTGCTTGATAGCTGGAATATTTCATGATTAACACAAGTGTATGTCAAGTGCAAATATGCCGAGCTGGCCTGGAGGGGTGAGAAGGTGGTGGAATTCATGGAACTCACGATAGCAGTGGGAGATAATTATTGGTTTGCCTTTAAACAAGTCAAGCGTGGCACGCCCGTTCATCACTGGACAGCACTTCCTGTCCTCGCATTCCCACTATAAAGATAGTGTATGACGGAAGCATACACTATAGACTTCCAATACACGTTCATATCCTGCAGATACATGTTGTATTAAGGCTCTTTCTACAGGTAAATAAAGACATAGATGCATGTCATGGTTCATGAGTATTAAACTTTGCCCCTCCATACAGCCACGCCCACATCTTCTCTCAAACCCTTCACATGCCTGTGTGGAAAAAGGCAACATTCGATACACAAATATTAGTGTATTAGACAGACAAAACGTTCCTCGGTATTCCAGACCGTAATTGTATATACACACTTCAAAACCTGCATCATCAAGATAAAACACACTTTACTGGGCAGTTGCCATGGTTGCGAATTCTTTTGTTAACTTTTGAAATTACAGAAGAGAATTAACTGTGCAGTAAAACTGGAAGCCTACTCACGTCTCGGTCTTGTTCCTGCTGCATCGAAGATAGTCCCGTATAACCCACTGGTAATCCTTACTCAAAAACACTAGCCTGCTTTTCAAATCAACAGCGACTCTGCTAAAAAGCTACAGCCTTTTTTCACGATGTTTGAACTCTATACGTTATTTTGAAACATGGCCTGGCAGTTCCCGGCTGTCTGAGCTTACTCGCAGAGAGAATTCCCCCCTACCAACAAAACGGACGATATATATCAAAGATTCCCTTCGTCATTCCGTTTCCAAGGCAACCGTGGAGAAGCGAATGAGGGTTTCCAATTTAAGCGCTATCAACTTAAGGGTTTCCCAGGCGAACCATGTGTTGATATGGTGGGGAACGTCCTCGGTGGAAGCTTGCTCTAAGTGATCAGAATACAACTCAGATTAAATCCGGAGCGATCGAACATAGGGTCTTAACTGATGCTTGAAAAGGGATATAGTTGGTGTATATTGCTACTTTACATGGAGAGGAAGAATTCCCTGCCACTTAAGTCGGAATAAGGAGAGTTTATTGTTAATGGCATTGACACGGCCTTGTATGGCGTTCATTGTGGAGAATGTTATATATGGCCTAATGTAAGGGGCATATGTATCATTTCCTTGTATTCTTGGAAAGAACAGTGTCGCGTTATACCACAGATGAGGAGCAGCTTGCGTTATTTCGGCATGATTGTTTTTTAACATGTCCATCTCTGGACGAAAGTATTATAAGTATGTTTTCGAAAGAAAATGAAAAAAAATGGAATATGAAGACTTCTACCAAGGTATGATAACTATCCAGCTATAATATTCTATTAATTATAAACATATTGGGGTTTAATGTCATCTTCCCTGTCTGCGAAACAATATGTCCTAGCCACGGTAAAAGCAGTCGTATAGAAAATATGATATCTGGAGATCTATAGCCATTAAGGATGGTCCCGCGGCGCTTCGAGAATATTACGGTTAGATGATGTTTTATGTTCACATAGTGACCTCAAGACACCGGCTCATATGGTGTAGAATAAACGGTTTACATGGTCTATCGCCGTGATATTGCTGGGAAAGTGATATGGTAATCTTGTGTTATGAACAACCGCAACGAGGTGTATTGGGAACAGTTAACTTTACAGCAGCCTAATAATGCATATGTCGATATCAATACCGCATGTGTCATTATCAATATGATTGCCTGTCCTAAAACTACACAACCAATTTAAGTCCGTGCACCTAGTGTCGTCTCCCAGAACACAGAATAACAACACAGCATTTCTTATAAAGTCAAAGACAAAGCAAGGGAGAAAATATCGATTCCGCAAGTGACACAATATATCCGACCCATTTCTCCACACAGCTCTCCAAATCCCGACTGTTTATAAGTCACAACAGTCTCACGACACGTAGCATTGATCGCCATGCTGTATTCAGTAGGACAAAGATGGCTTTGACATCTAGTTTAATCTAATGCTGATCACACGCTCGTGTTCCAGTACAGTATAAGTCTGTGTCTTAAATCAATGTTATACTTCCCCGGCAGTGTGGTAGCGTTAGAGCAGGCTTCAGGTGTTCTCGTTCCTCAGATGGTTATGCCACACAGTTACAAGAAGGCCCCCTATGAGGATCCATACACGCCATCGGTACACGGGCATTATTCATGTCTTATGTCGGCAGCAGAATAAACGATCTGTTTACTAGCTCACGAACACAGGTTGGTACTTATAGATCCAGTTCTTCTGGATAATGGTTAAAGTGTTCTATCGTTTGTCGATTATCATCTTTGCACGTAAATAAAGCCTCTATCTTCAGCTTGTATCAGCATCAGACTTTAGAATGTCAGTAAGATTATCTACAGATTTCAATGGGTGACACGTTTAGTGCGCGGAGGAAGAAAAACACAAGTTGTATTGCAAAACAATGACTTACTGTCAGAGACCTTATAGGAACAGAAATATCTTCACTCTCATGGTACAAAATGAGAACGTTTGCCCTGTTATGATGGGTTTGTAAAGGAAATGAAAACCTTTATAGGTTACATAATTGATACTTAGACAACGATAAAACACATAAACGGGTTAAACTATCAGGCTATGAAACGGAATATAATGCTTGCACTGTCAGGATGAATATGTACACTGTCAGGTGTTGTGCATGAATACAGAGTATAACACGTACACTGTCAGGATGAATATATACACTGTCAGGTGATATGGATCAATACAGAGTATAACACGCACACTGTCAGGATGTATATATTATACACTGTCAGGTGATATGGATCAATACAGAGTATATCACTACACTGTCAGGATGTATTATATATACACTGTCAGGTGATATGGATCAATACAGAGTATAAAAAGCACACTGTCAGGATGTATATATATATACACTGTCAGGTGATATGGATCAATACAGAGTATAACACGTACACTGCCAGGATGTACATGTACACCGTCAGGTGACATTAATGAATACTAAGTATATCACTACACTGTCAGGATGTATTATATATACACTGTCAGGTGATATGGATGAATACAGAGTATAAAAAGCACACTGTCAGGATGTATATATATATACACTGTCAGGTGATATGGATCAATACAGAGTATAACACGTACACTGTCAGGATGTACATGTACACCGTCAGGTGACATGAATGAATAGTATTACTAAGTATATCACTATACACTGTCAGGGGATCTAGAGGAATATAAGACCAAAACTGTTAGGTATAATACAGAAATATTAACTGTCAGACGATAGAGAGTAATATAAGGCCAACACTGTCATGCACATGTCCGGTAACCATTCTCTGATAAAACATAAGGTCTACACAGAAGGTCTACACAATCGGGCGATATAGAGGAATATAAGGCCAACAATGTCAGGCCTAAAAAAGGAAGAGACGGCCTAAACTTTCAGTTGTACTGAAGGAATGTATAATATACTTCAATGAAACCACATTTTCTTACAAATTCACACAATGACGAACCTGTTTTATCCCTTCAATAAAACATGTCCCTACATGGTTTTATGTGTTGAACCAGGACGGCGGAGAGGTGACACGTTTCCTTTTTTAGGTGCTCTTTGGTAACATGCTTAATAATATCAAAACACCCCATCTTGCCTCTTCTGGCTAACTAATCCTACTTTTCCTCAGCATCGAAAAGACGTAAAGTGTGAAATGTTCAGCTCATTATTCGTAACACTCTTATTCCTCCTTATTCACCTTAAGCCTTAGCAAATTGTATTCGCACCTGTCGCGTGAAGTGAACGCTACACCAGCCGCTACTTAAGATCAACACCGACAATGCTACGTTAAAAGCCAGCACTGTTGTTAGCCGAGTAAGAGACGTCGGCGGGAAAACAATCAGAACTTACCATCCTGTCCTCTGCATTCGGAACATCGGTATCACTGTCCCAAGTCGACTCCATCTTGACGCACAAACTGCGCGCTAGGAGAACAACAGTGTAAATCACGACGACGTCCGACGAAATACGCCTTCATCGGAAATCAATGTATTGATAAAAGACCCGATCACTTAGGACTCTCCGATGTTATCCAGAATTGATCGGGGGTTATGTTTTGCGTCGGAAGTCATTGTACTGAAAACGTCCCAAGCCAAGTTATTGGATTTAGCGTAAGACATATAGGACATCTGATAGCTTGCTCTTTAAACAACATTTGTGGCTATTTGGATGAGATTATCGTAAGAAAAACTCTACAAGAAAACGAAGTTGAAAGAACGCATAAATAAGTGCCCTGCCGTCATTATGGCAAAGCACCTGAGATGATAATGGATCATTGTTAATCAAGCTCAGACCTAAAGGGTTTCCAGACGGAGTTAGCCTGGTTTAATAGCTTGGTAATGCCACGAATCATTTCTACATCTGTTTACAGGGCACGGGAGGCTATGTAACCTACGAGCTGTCTCATTGATCTGAGAAACGTATGCTGCAATGAAGAAACACTGTGTCTTCAACCGATAAAACTTCCCATGAACACACAGTTCCGGTTTGTCTTCTTTCGTTAAGTGTGTGTCGATGAGGACATGATCAAGTTCTGTCTTGTGACGATGGATACCAAACACAGGATCTGCATATTTTACGAAAAAAGCAAAATATTTTGAATGTTTATGAAAATTAACAGATATGTCCAGAATGTTACAGAATGGTTGCGAATACCCCCCCCCCCCCCCCCACACACACACACACACACACACACAACCATAACCATTTGATAAGTAATGCACGTGCTACAGTACCCGGATCAGAGAAACTTGGGTATGAAGTGAAACTTTGGCGGCACTTACAGTGATCCACCATATGATATTCGGGGGGGACCTAAGACCTGGAATTTTGCATCCATCTTAGATAACTTTCAAGACAGGTTTAGGAATGACCTCCTGCCACCACCACCCAGGAAAATGCTACATACGTATCCTCCATCTGAGGTATCATCACGGGGACAGCATCGGCTGCGACAATCTTCATGTCAGTCGCTGGACAGCGTCACTACATCAGACCTTGGAAACGACTACGACACGTAACGCTGACACCGGAAAACAGACAGGTAGAACAGAAACTGGCAAAGAGGCATATTCACAGAAGAGAACAGAATCCAGCTTTTCCGAGCAATTTGTGTCTGTCGCCGTCCAGGAGAACGAACGTCACGTTGTTGGAGGTATCTGTAATCAAGCTTCGAACTGCGGCGTTAAACAACATGTAAGATCTCACTGATAGACGTGCATTAGCATGAACACACAATCTGCCCAATTCTGAGAGATTTATGTAAGCATGAAGACACAATTTGTCGAATTCCGAGGGAGGTATCTTAGCATGAAGACAGAACCGTCTGGATTATCTAAAGGCACGTAAGGCGAGCCATTGAGATCCAAGATCAATACCATGAAAGTAACCTGCATTTTCTTGTTCCGAGATCGAACATAGTTCGTGAATAGTTTCTTATCGAAATAGAATCTTTTCCATAAGATTTTGCTTATACGAGGAAAAAAACTAATACATTTAAGGCCGATCGACAGAGCTGTTTGAGTTAGCGTAGAAGTACAGGGATAACTGAAGGTTGAGATTTCTTGATGAATTAAATTCCGGTTTGTTTTGGAACAAACACTAATGGTATACCCTTGGAAACAACCAAACGTGTTCAGACAAACTACATCAAAGGAGTGTCGGTTACAAAGAGCCAGAGCATGACTTTGGGTCGTGAGGCTAGGTCATCCTTC